CTGGAGAAGGACTTTTTACAAGGGCATGTAGTGATAGGACAAGGGGTAATGGCTTTAAACTGAAAGAGGGTAGATTTAGATGAGATATAAGGAAGAAATTCTTCACTATTAGGGTGGTGAGGCACTGGAACAGGTTGCCCAGAGAAGTTGTGGATGTCCCATCCTTAGAAGTGGTTCAAGGCCGGTTGGATGGGGCTTTAAGCAACCTGGCCTAGTGGAAGGTGCCCCTGCCCATGGCAGTGGGGGTGCAACTAGATGATCTTTGAGGTCCCTTCCAACCCAAACCATTCTATGATACAAGAGGAAGATGTATCCTTAGAAATACAAAAGTAAAAAAAAAACCCAAACAAAAAACCCCAAAACCAACCCAGTCAAGCATTGGTTTGTGAAATTCAAAAGAGGTACAAACTCTGCAATAATTTCCATATGCAAACAGGAGCAACATCTGTCCCCAAAAGCCTACCATTTAATTGAACCATGATATAACAAACAATGGGAGGAAAATGTCCATAGGTTGGAATACTTCATTAGAATAAATCAAAACAGATACACTTATAATAAAGGATTAAAACATTTATTCTGTTATTTCAGATGATTTGTCAGCTTGGCTATCTGTCAGGCACCAAGTATCAAAAGCAGGCTTTGTGGCAGATAGTCAACTACTAAAGGGTTAAGTATAGGACATTTCTGTAGTGTAAAAATTAAATCTGGGAAAGAGAAATGCATTTCAAAGAAAGAACACATTCAAACCCAGAAAACAATCATGATAGTTAATGTCAGCATTAAAAGATCTTCCCTATCCCTAACCTTTCCCCTTCCTCCTTCCTGTGATTTCATACACACGCTAGTCCAAATCACCCCACTACTCACCTCATCAGCTACAGAAAATTGCTTTGAAAATTTTGTTCTGTGAGCTCCCCTTCACTCCTCCTGCAAACAAACGCTTGCATTGCAAGGAACCTTTGGATTTATAGAGAGGATATTTAAAGACTCTCCTTGCCTAACTCTGCTCCCACTGAAGTCAGCAGGAGCGTTACCAATTTCAGTAGCAGGAAACTTAAATCTGTGACAAGCACTTTTGAAAAGTACCATCCATCTGAACATCTCAAGTAACCTCACAAACATTCAACTTCAGTGCTGCGAAGCACTCCAGCCAAGTACACCAATCATTCCAGAAGCAGGGAAGAGTGAACTTGAGTTAAATGTCCAAGGTCACTGCAATTCAATTACCAGCCTACAAACTGCACCCAAGGCGAGACAGCACCCCGCTCTAACCATTATTGTCAATACTGAGCTCTTCATGTCCCAATTTCTAGCTTCTCATCCAATCACTTGTTTTGTAACAATTTTTAATGTATACTTCATTAAATCATTACGTGTTTTGCAGTACACTGCAGATTCTGTCGTAAAAAGACTGAGCTAGATCAGAGCTCAAATGGTACGCAACCACTTGGCCAACCTCTGGACACTGGTAAACTCTATTCCCAGATGCTACAGGAGTAGGAGAAATCTTTAAAATGTATTAACAATTTTTTACATGGAAAAGGAACAAACGCCACTGATTTTATACAACTGCAAGCAGCGTAATATTTTAAAAAAAAGGAAGGGGAATATATTTATATTTTAATATTAATAAAAGACAAAAAAATTTGCACCTTTGGTGCAAATGGTTCAGAAAGTTCCCTCAAATCATTTCAGCTATGGTTTCACAGAAGACAGCCTCTAGAAAAATCTTTACATTCTTGAGAGCAGAGTGATGGAAGCCACAGTCTGACATATATTAGTAAAACTGCACAAAACTGAAATAACAAGTAAGGGCTATAGCAAATACGTTTGCTTCATACAAATCTAACACTGAACTCTAAAGTACAAGATGTGAAGTGTCAGGGTACTGTAAAATTTCAGTATTGTAAAATTACAATTATAAGAAGATTTCAGATACATGTTCTGGCCTACATTTAATCCCTCCCTCCAATTACTTTAATATGTAGAACTGTAGTTCGCAATGCTTTTATTAAAATTAAACTGCCTTTCTTTGTATATTCCAAGACACTCCCAAAATAGTATTATATTAAGCAAAATCAACGCAGAGTTGATTAAACAGCACCTCCACTGTTTTTACATTCTTTATTCACAATATTAACTGAATTCAAGTTTTAGATTAAATTTTTTCCCAGTGGCAGTAAAGTTTGAGGAATGGGAAATATGCAACAATTATACAACAGGAAACATCTAAGTGTTCTGCTGTGACTTCCTTCCCACACACCCACTCCCAGAAACTGCCTTAAAAAAACCACCCTAGAACTTGTAACAAATGCAGCAAATTTTCTAGTAGTCACTAGCAGGAATACAGCACATATGCGTTTTTTGCAGCATGGCTTTCTATTAAAAAAAAAAAAAAAAAGAAACCAGTTTTTGCCTCTCATGTAAAACTGACTAAACATCTTTCAGGTCAAATATGCTTTTCAGTTCCTAGAAGGGTGAAGTTCAGAAAAGAAAAAAAAAGGAAAAACGGGGGGGGGGGGGGGGGGGGGGGGAAAAAAAAAAAAAAAAAAAAAAAAAAAAAGAAAAAAAGGGCACTGAACCCTTATAAGCCTTTCCTCTACCCCCCTCATACAATTGCTTACCATATATCCCTCTTTACTGAGTACATTTGGCACAAACAGTTGTTCAGAGCAGGGGAAATACTTCCAAGGCAGTAATTTGCAAAGATTGCTGAGGAATTCTGTGAGACACTGTAAAAAGGAACCTGGAGCTGCCAGATGAGCTAATGCTCTACTTACCAGACTGGAATAGAGCCGTCTACCTTTCCCGTGGAAATGCACTCCCTTCAGGTTTATTAGCAGTTTGCATCACTGGTTTAAAAAGATTATTCTAATCCAGGTTAAAGAATTACTTCAGAGAACACAGTACATCTTAAAACCCAGTCCCTGGCTGTGGTCCCTAATAGCAAAGAGTAAATTATCGTCATTTCTTCAAATAAGCATACAAACCTCAAAACAATATTCACAATACTCCCATGAGTAGGTAACAGCAATGTTTCACCAGTGCTGTCTTTCAAGGTGAAGGCATATGTGAGAAGGGGAAAGAAGATGAGAACACCAGAACAAGGTTAATTTGCACATTTTCAAATTTAATTGCGTAAGCTAACAGAAACTCAAAACTGAAAAAGGAATGAGGTTATGCACAAAAATCTGTGAAGAGATTTTGTACCACTGAATCACTTTTAATTGGAGCAACAGACATTAAGGATTTTTGCCAACACCACTGAAGAAGTCGTTCAACTCCTTGTGGATGGCTCTTTGAATCAGCTCAACATTTAGCAGAAGCCAAAACGCCAAACAGCTTATTTACAAGTTACAAGGAAAGAAATATAAAACAAAACAGAAAACATCACCATATAATTTCTATAAAGCTATTGTGTGGGATTACATTTTAATACTGTGTTCAGCTCTGATAGCCCTGTACTTCTGCACCACATCTAGAAAGTAAAACCACAGACCAAGATACAGAGAAAAGCAGACAACTGTGATCAGGGTATAGAATATATATGTAACGGAACAGATCAAGATTATTCATCTTGGAAGTTGCTTACAGAGTGGAAATACTATATACAAGGAAAGGAAAAGGCAGCACTTGTTCTCTATTTCTCACACTACAAGGAGGCACGCGCAGAAAGCACAGAAGAGCAGGCTCAAAACAAAGTTCTGTACAACACAATCGTATCTGGACCTCACTGCCACAGCCTTTTGTTGAGGTCAAAACTGTAATTGCTTTCAAAAACAGAATTGACAAAAAATACAAAGACTAGATCCACAGTGACAGTAAACATGATATCCCAGATGCAACCACTTTCCTATTGGAGTTTCTATTCTAAATTCACTCTTCTTCTAGCACATGCAGAAAGATGAATTAAATCTGCCACTCCATCCTTTCCCGAGGCCATTATGACTGGAAATCAGAATTCCAAAGACAGAAACCATGTCAGATACAGTACCTTGCCTTAAAGTAAATTTAAAGAAAAGACTCTAGTTACATAGAAGCTGCTGACCTTTACATTAATGATTAAAAAGACAACAAAATAAACAAAAAAAAAAAAAAAGAAGAGAGGTAATACTTTTCAAGATAGCTATTAAAATAGCAGCATAGCTAAATGGTATGCCACAATCTTTATTCTTTGGCAACAGAAAGGAACACATAATAGACAAATCCTAAGAGCTAATTTACAATGATGAAAGTGAAGAGAATGCTTCCCAGTGGGAGGAAAAAAAAGAGAAAGAAAAAAAACACTTTGGCCTTGTGCACACACTTCAAATTGGACCCTTCTTAGAAAGAATTCTTAAAACTGCCTCACCACAGAGAACATTACGGAGCTACTGCAACTCATAAGCAAAGATATCTTAGAAGTCCCTTTAATGTATTCTTATTTAATAAACATTTAGTTATTTAACATTTTATAATGTCACTAGACTTTTTCCTAACTTTTTTTTTTTTTGCTTCTGTTGACTTATAGTCACAAAGGATTTTTTTTAAAACAAAGTATTACTTAATTTGACATTTCTTAGATTTGTATTAATCCCATTTATGGCAAATAATATATGGTCAATATTGAATTTTAATAAAAATGGAAAGCTAACCTAGTCAAGAGAGTAACAAGTTACTTCAGCAGTATAGCTCCCACAAAGCTCTCAGCAACAGGTTCCATCTTGAATTGAAAGAAAGAAGTCATAGCTAGTCTCCACTTTTGACTAAAAACATGGTACCAATCCTCTTCATTTGCCTTAGTATTGTAACAGCAGCCTGCAGTCCAGGCTTGCCTTCTTTTGGGCTCATGGTCAACGGGTTGTATTCTACCTGGAAGCCAGTAAGAAGTGGATTATTGGAGGGACCTGTCCTGTTTAACATCTGTATCAATGATTTGGAGGAGGCATCAGAGTGCACTCTCATCAGACTTGCAGATGACACCAAATTGGGGGGGAACAATCAACACTGTCAAAGACATGACCGCCATTCAGAAGGACTTAGGCTACAGGAATGGGCCAACAGGAACCTTCAGAGATTCAGCAACAACAAACGCAAAGTCCTGCATCCAGGAAGCAGATGCCCCTTACAGCGATACAGGTTGGGACTTATCAGCTATGGACCAGCTCTGGGGTCCTGGTGAGCAGTGAGCTGGCAGTGATCCAGTGCCCTGGCTGCAGAGAAGGCCAACAGCCTCCTGTATCGGCAAGAGCGTGGCCACTAGATCAACAGAAGCGATTACCCCCTCTGCTCTGCACTCATTAGACCGCATCTCAAATACTGCATCCAGTTCTGGTCACCTAAGGCAAGAAAAACATCAACAAACTGGAGCAAGTCTGGGGGAAGGCCACCAGGATGGCTGGGAGCTGGAGTACTTGCCCTGTGAGGAAAGGCTGAGGGACTGGGGTTTGTTCAGCCTGGAGAAGAGGCAGCTTCAGAGGGATGAAACAGCAGCCTGCCCCTACCTACAAAGAAGTTTTCAAGAGAACTGCGTCAGGCTCTTTGCAGGGGTGGGCATGGTGGGAGGATGAGAGAAAACTGGCGTAAGTTGAAACAAGAAGTTCAGGCTGGATATAAGGAAAAAAAAGTTTTCACCGTGAGGACAAGCTAACCTGAAAAGTTGTACCTGAGTAACTCTGATCTCACAGCTGACCATGCTTTTTGCATGTAATTTTTAAATCTTTGCTATTGCCACACTTCCAAACCATGCATGCACCTTTGAACTCCATCATTGTGTATCTTGACTACAGAAAAATAATCTTTGTTACTTGCCTATGTCACACCAAATACTGAGGTTCCATAACAATTTAAGTGGATCTAACCTGGCTATCACAGTTCTGCTCTTCCTCCATGCTACATGTTCATGCCTCTTCTCTTTCACTTGTGCTGGCACTCATCTGACTCCATAGTAAGTCAGTTCAAATAAACTAGTAGGAGAGATTGAAATTTGTTTTAACCAGTTTAGCTGCCTAACCAATTCACTACTGGTACAAATGCCAATGCAAGAGAGGGTGGAACCACCTCGCAGTCCCAATTCAGATTAGTATGAACTACTCATGAAACAACAGAGTTCCTAACAGACACTGAAACCCTGGTTCTTGATGGAGATCGTAGGTAGTACTGTAATATACATGATTACTCCTCCTCCTCCTTACGATTAAGCTATTAAAATAGACAGATAAGACTAAGCATGCAAAATTGGAGAGGTGCTTAACTACCCTGTGCAGTTTTTATGTGGTAAAAGCTAAGAGGCTTATTTTGGTAGGTTGAGGGGTTTTTGGACTAACAATGAACCCTAACTGGTTGCAAAGCCCTATTTCTGAGAAAAGGGAAGAAATTGCAGAGAACAGCGTTTAATTCCTGTTGTATTATGAAATTGAAATGCTTGGGCAATTAGGAAAATTTCTATTTATTGCAATACCTTGATCTACCGGCTATTTGAATTTCAAGGAGAACAATGTAAATCAGTGAAGTGCCGAATCCTGCAAAGGATGCACTTCACAGAACAAGTCAAGGACACTTTCCATGTGCAGCCTCCTCCTACACCAAAGTCAAGCTTTGCAAAGGCAGCCTTGCCATTGCCTTCAACAAGGACAGAAGCAAATTTTGTATGTGATTAATACTTTAGTTACCTGACTTCTGTCATGTTTGCCAAAAACTAAAAAAAATATTTTGTCCTTCTGTGAGAGGCTTTACTTTTGCCATTTTGACTTTTTTTAGCCAAAACTAGTTCCTTAATGAGGCTCTAGTAAGGAGAGAGTTTAAAAAAATTGCTAGTGACACTGAAAACTACAATGCTGTCTCAAATACTGAGCAGAGGCACTTTCACAGAAAAACAACACCTAAGCACAAACAATTGATTAAACAGTAATCTCCCACGCTGTATATATCTTCTGTACTGGAAGAGGCAAGTTGCCATATAAGCAATGCTTCAATAAATTTAGCTGACTAGAAAGCTGCAATTTCACAGACTTCTGGAATGTCTCAGACACAGTATATTTAAATGATTACTTCATAAAAATCACTTAAAGTATTTTGTTAGATGTAAAGTTTTTATACAGTTTGAGTAATGAAAAACCTCAACATTAGCTCACCCAGTGGAAATACGCAGTCACTCCTTGCCAAGATAAGCATTACATCTCCATTTGCCATTTATTATTCTTTTAAACTGAATAGGGAAGATTGCTCTTAAGAGATAGTCCAGATACAAATCTCTACTATCCAATTACATATGTAATCTCTTTAAAACTTCTCAATGGAAGTCTCTTAGTATCTCTCATAAATCAATCTACATCAGTTGCTTTTGTGAAAAATCTTTAACATAAATATTAATACTTCGAGATACTATTTTTCCTCCAATTCTACATGATATCCTTAGGTTCCTTTGGGAAATTACTTCATGTATCCTTCAAGCTTTTAAAAAAAAAAATGCACCTACTTGGAGGCTAGGCTTCTGACTCTCCTACTAAAAACATCAATCATCTAAAACAATTTCCAGAAGTATTGGAAAGCTTAAAAGTAGGCACACTGTAATTAAATAGGAGTCAAACTTCTAATCTGTTGAAAATGACATCAGGTGCCTGCATGCATTTCAGTGATCTACAGTATATTAAGTAAAGCAATGAAAACAAACACAAGGAATGTATACAAGCACGGAATTTGACCTAACAAGAGGACAGATTTCCAAGTTCATGACAGTCCATGAAATTCTTTTTTAGCTTATCTGCAGGCACTCAGCATGGCTAAAGTTCTATTTTAGAAAGTACGCGAAAAGGTTAGGGAAGAAAGAAAGGATCGTGATTATTCACAGTCCAGCAAAAATCTGTTTTCTGTGTTTTAGACTCTGGGGATTCCATAATAAGTTTAAGAGAAGAAGCTGGAATTTCCTGATCTGGCAGATATAACCTAGGGTGGAGGAAGGCTAATTCTCAAAAGAGTTTTCAAACGTGGGCTTGGAGTTTTGCCGGACAGAACAATGATTGATTTAAATCAGCTATAAAAAGAGAGATTTGATCTTCTGTCAAGTCTTTGAAATGGTAGAAGTTAAGAGGAATCATCAAGCGCTGCACGCTTGTTTAAGGAAAAATCCATTCTTTTACATTTAGTTCTAAACATTTTAACGCACCTGTGGGCTGATCATTTCATGCTTTCAATTGTCAGTATACCAAGCATCTCTTTTTGTGCCATGCTATAAAGAACTGAACTTTTATAGGCAAAAACAGTTAAGGAAGAAAGGTAGGGGTTTGCAATAAAATAAAGCGCTTGCATTCCTTCCTAAAGGTGATCTGCATAGCTCTTCACTGACGTTTTCAGTATATGGTAATTTTATCCTCTCCCAACCCAACTCCTGTGTTTCATCAGTTTTTACATTGAAGAAATAGTGGAAAAACTCTGCTCTTTATTGGAAGTCCAGGTGAAAGGGTCTAAGTTCTGTCTTTTTTGCTGACTTCACTGCTTCATGCCAAAGATACAAAAAGCATTTCGTTTTGCCCATCACATTTTCTCTCCTTCACCTTACTACTATCTCTGTGTTAAAGCCACTGTATTTCTATCGCTTGTATTTACAATAAACAGATTGTAACAAGGTCTCTGGTTTGGTTTGCATAAACTTACATAAACAGCAATATCGCTTTAAAGAACTAGAGACATCCACCGAATGGTACCAGAGTAGTCTGAGTACCAGTGGAGCAACAGTACTGCTCATTTCTTAGCATTACAGTATTTCAACCATTATTAGCATTTCTGCATCAACACATACAAGACATTCTGTCTAAAAGTGATTTCTGCCTTCAAGAATCTAATCATAACAGTACATCTCTTTTATTTGGAATCCTAGAATCCATAACCAGAAAAAACCGCTCTAAAACACAAACACTGCCACATTTAGGTTTTGATAATGACATCTGGCTTTATTTGTCCAGAGCCTGCAGAAAAAAATGTGTGGCCTTGTGCAACAGAGACAGATAGAGTTTGCAAAGTAACTAACAGTGTTGCCTCCTTGTTTTTCCATGCCCAGATTGTTCTTCCTGTTGTCCCTCTAAAGCCAGCTGCTGGGAGATACGCAAGGAAGCAGCAGTGCTTGGTGACCCTCACTGGCAGCCAAAGAATTAGTCTCGTTGATGGAGCGTGGCAATCCACTGTGCCAGCTGAAAAAAGCAGGCTAGAGCATTTTTTTGATCCTTTCACTGGGCTTTGGGAAGACAAAATCTCTTCCTTTCACAAACCTGACTAGGAAGCTTAATTAATGTCCAACTATACTGACACTTACTATGCTTAGGCTATAACCAAAGTCCTTTATGGTTCACCCGAGTGCTTGTGAATGGGTTGTAACTGAGAGTGTGCTGCAGTATGGATAACTGCTTCAGATGGTGGGGGGGACAGGCAAAATGATCCATGTGGCACAATGCTCCTGTGATACTCACATTAAGCAGGAAGACTTAAGTCTGTTTGTCAGTAGAGCAAAGTGAGACAGAGTATAGCTTGCAGAGCATGATTTGCAGTCACGAGGTGCAGAATGAAGTAGAGAAGGGTCAGAGAAATCCCTCAGCTGAGGTATGGGGGATGTCTGTAGCCTGCAAATTCCCCACTAATACAATACAAGGACCGAAACACCCCAACCCTGACCTTCATGTCTTTGTTTTCTTCTGTTTTGCTTCCTCCAGCTGCTATATGTCTCAGAAAAAGAAAGCAGAAGGGGGAAAGCAATTTCCAAGGGCAAAGGTAGCCCAAAACACAGCTAGGGCCTTCTGAACTCAGTTTTTGGGGATCTGCAGAAGGAAGGCCTGGCTAAGCATGTTTTTGTGGCCCAAGAAGCATAACTAACACAAACTGTACAGAGCAAATCATGCTCCTCCCACCAGTCACTAACAATCCTAGTTGTGCTGTTAAGCTGCCAACAAGCTAAAGTGTATTGTGGACTTCAGGGCATTGAAAAATGTTGCATTCTCCTGCTGCCATCACTCTTACCTACCTTTTATTTATTCCATCCTATTCAGACAGATGGAGTGATATATTTGAACAGGCTAA